TGCTGTGCTGTAAAATTCATCATATGTGCAGAGTAGAATAGTCTTAAATATATATTTTTTAAAAACATTGTGGGGGTGAAAAGACATGCCTTTCTAAGATGAAAGAAAGGCGTTTTGTACTTAATGCATTGAAGAATTTGTTCAGTAACTGTTCATTCATGTGAGAATATAACCCCTGTAATATTGCCAAGGTCATTAGAGACCTGTGGTGATCTGCTGATTAAGTGCTGGTCACACAAGTTTAGGCTGCCTGAGGCACCTTTACTTACACACCCAGTTTTTATTCCGAGTTCTCCAATAATGTTGGAGGAAAAAATACTTGGAACTTACTCTTTTGGACTGGCTTCTTTATTTTTAAGCTTTGTTCCTCCTTTAGACAGTCTTGTCCTTAACCTTGGCAAGTTTCCTGAGATTTGCACTGAAAAAGAAGGGAGAACACCAATATGGTTTCATTTGACTGAGTAGCTGACATTCTGTCTGAAGACGCACAAAGCAAAAGGCAGGCCAGAATAGGTCCAAAGGTATGACTGTCTGTCTGATACGAGTTTATGAAATCATGATGGGAGCTGAACTTTTTTTGAACTTGCTCAGAAGAGTTCCTCTTCCCTAGTCTAACATATTTCCTGTTTATTGTGGTACTCTGGGTTAAATGAGCAGTTTTTTCCAGTAAAAACCTAGTGATATTAGAAGAGAACAGCATAAAATATGCTATATGAGGTGCTAGAACTCCAGGTACTGTATGGGCCTTCTGTACTAAGCTTTCTAACTCGGGAGCCCTGTGTAGGCGGTTGGATGAGAAAGAACAGACAAATCAACATTCCATTCACTAAACTCCCCAGCATGCCTAAGCTTCTTTCACTCTGTTTGTAAAAGGGAGAAAATGAAACAAAAAGGAGCCACTAGTGGAGTGCTTGCTAATTAGTAAAACTGGACTGCATTACAAGAAGCAAAAATAAATGAATATATTGGATATTATCAAAAAGTACATGCAAACTGACTGCAGAAATCCATTTCAGAGCTATTTAATCAATGTATTTGGAAAAATGACTAGCTTTTGGAGTATTTGCAAAAGACTAGAACTAGTCAGTCTGCTTATGATGCCAGCTTTCATATAAAAAGTTAATTGATCCTGTAGACAGTCTGAGCATATTCTGAGTTACTTCTTTAGCAAAGTAATTTGCATGTTTTAAGGTATTGCTTACTAGAAAACAATCCAGTAAACTTCTTTTGTAGAGTAACAGCCTCTTGTATAACTTTAAACACAATTTGCAGTGCTTCTCTCTTCACACTTCTGCCAATTTTTTTTTTCAATTCAGTAGTGTACAGCATTGTATATCTCCAATATTTCCCATTACATTTATGCAGTGGTCTTAATTTTTTAAAAAGTGATTTAAAGGACCAAGGCCTAAATGCACAGGATTAGGAATCCAACATTTTATTACAGATAGCACCTTATAATCCAGATGGACTTCCTGATTTGAAAAATGAAGAATCGGGTCTATCTTGCTCATGCCCCTGGGAATTGGAATAATGTGTTCTGAGAACTTGCGGCTTGCTTGAATTGAGCCCTTTTCAAGATTCTGCTATCATACAATTCTCCAGTCCATTTTTTATGAACTACAATGATGATGATACCGTCTTTCCCGAGCTGCTGCTACTCCTCATTGCCATTTCACTGAGTCCTCACATACTAGTTATCGGTAGTTATATTAGTTTGGGCTTAGTTTCTAATGTTTACAAACCCTAATTCTTTGTCAGTTGCACAAGGTTACCTTTATTTTAGTTTTATATTTTTATTTGTTGTTTTCAAAATAGTAGTGAAACAGGTTTGTACTTAGATTCTGAGCTGTATCAAATTCAGTGCATAGCCACTTTAAAAAACTTATATGACAAAATGAAAGTGAAGACTAACTTTAAAGATTCACATGTTGCAACAAAGCGCATTGCCAAAAAGCCATAAATGCATATCAAACTTTAACAGCTACACGTATAGACGCCAGCCTAAAAACTGTTCACTGTATGGTAAATGCATGTGTAGATGCGCTCTTTGTGTATTGTACTGCAGCAACCAATGAGTAATAAAAGTGCATGTTTGAAAACCACACAACTCAGGCCTTTCACACATTATTCTTGATTGATACAAAGTCTCAAATCCCTGTGGATCATTTTTCATTCAGAGAATTCGGAAGTGAGGGGAGGAATTGTTACTTAATTGCCTATCTAGCTCAAAGGATCTGGGTCCCAGATGGCTTATTGTAGGTTCTCCGTGGACATGGGTTCTGGCTTGCTCAGATGCAGAAGTTTTTAAAATAAAGTTTAGGCTAATAAAACAAACACCTTTGCGTTAAAAGCTGCCCTAAAACAAGGTTTCCAAATGCATAGGAAACGCATCAGGGCTCATGGACAGAGGTGATATCTGTTATTAGACCAACAAGATTTTTGCAAAAAAAAATGTCTTTAATTGCAAGCTTTTGGGCACAAACACCCTTCATCAGGCATCAGAGAAAACATTGTAAAAGTTCTCCTGGGTAGAAATGAAAGTTCATATTTCATAGGATTTCACAGAGGGGTCAGTAGATGGAAAAACCCTCAGGGCAGCAGTTCTTAGCTGGTAAGGAGTCTGAGACTCCTGCTGTCCAGAGGGTTTTTTCATCTATTGATCCCTCTGTGAAATCCTATGAAATATGAACTTTCATTTCTACCCAGGAGAACTTTTACAATGTTTTCTCTGATGCCTGATGAAGGGTGTTTGTGCCCAAAAGCTTGCAATTAAAGAAATTTTTTTTGCAAAAATCTTGTTGGTCTAATAACAGATATCACCTCTGTCCATGAGCCCTGATTGCTTTTTCCTCTAGACCAATATGGCTACAACCTAGATACAGGGAACACATGTATTTTCTGATGCAGTGATTCTCAGCTAGGCTGCCCATGGATTGCTGTGCACCATTAGCATTATTAGGTGGGCAAACATGATTCACAAAATAAACCCAGATATTTCAAATAGGAATCTATAATGTCAAAATCATTCTGACCCGTTATGGTCTTTCTGAGTTTTTTGCAACAGAAAAACTGCATTATTTTTCTGTAGTCAAAAAATGAGTTAGAACTAAGATTTGGCATTTTCTGAGGGGTGTCTCAAACCTGTTGAGAAGTGCCTTTGATATTTCAGTCATGTTGAGATCAAAAGGCTCAAATTTAAAGACTTCCTTTAACAAATTGAAGCAGCATGTAGAAACTGTATACTGTATACTGGGCTCCACTACAGTGGAGTGTATTGAGACTTGCATTTGAAAGCAGGTCTCCTATTTTTACTTTTGTCTTTCAAATAAGAGGTTTTTGTTGACACTACTACTCTTATCATTCAATGTGTTTTGACCAGAATGCTGCTGCCCTGGCCAATGGAAAAGTCTTTGCAGAGCAGATGCAAAATGCTGCTGAAAATGTAGTGAAGGAGCAAGCAGAGGAGAATGAGCAACTGAAGAGAACAATTAAAGAGCTAGAAGGCAAAAGTAAAGACCTCCATCAACAAATTGATCATTTGAACAGAGAACAAGAGATAATGAGAGAGAAAGTAAAGAGAAATGAGGTAAGTTGCACATCAGATTTGTAACAAGTATATTTTTTTTCTGTTTGTGTTTGGATGGATGTTGCATAAAAATTGAGAGATGAGGGCAAAGAAAGTCATTGTTGCTGCAAGGGAAAATAGACAAAAGCTGTGAGCTTGAAGGAAAAGAATTGAGGTTTGTCAGCAGCTACCTGGAGGCTGTTTAAAATATAGGGACAGGGTTAAAATAACAGCCAGACATAAGAATGGGCATTTTGGATAAGTGTAAGAGGATATGGCAGCTTGTAGGCAAAGTTAACCCAGTGTGGAGTCTTGATGGTAAGCTTGAGGAGCTTGGTATGAAAGGCAGAAAGAAGCCTTTTTTTGTTTTGCTTTGTGTTTCCTAATGCCTGTATGTATTAATTGTCTGTGGATCTTCTGAAGCCAGGCTATAGCAAATGCAGCACTGACAGTTCTGAATGTATTACTTCCTTTTACTGCAGAAAGAAAAGCAACAACTAGAAGATGCCCTGCAGTGTGCTAGGAATGAGGCAAAGGAGCTGGCACTGGTGAAAAGGTCTTTAGAAAACCAGGTGGATGATATGCAAGTGAGTACAAGAGCATAAATTAGATTAAATGAACAGTCAGTCTTCTGTTTTGTTCACCTGAGTCACTATGGCTTTTTCCTCAGTGGTGACTTCATCTGGCTCTTTAAATAAGCATCATTATAAGTGGTGCCATCAAAGCATTATTCAAATTGTTGCTCTAACCACAGCTCCATCTAACCCTAACCTAACCTTGCTTTCTTTATAAAATATTCTGTCTTGCCGTGAATGAAGTAAGCTTTGAGGGAGATAAATCCCCAGTGAACTTGTCTGATTTCTGACAGATCTGCATTGTAATTTTAAATTATCTTTCATCTCTGGCTTTGTTGCAGCTAGACTTTTACACACAAGAGGATTAAAGCTATAATCCAGCAGTCATATGAATATGAAAAATCTAGTTGGAAGAATAAAAGGTCACCAAATCGGGTCCAGTTTCTGCTCAGTTTCCATCTTGTTTTACTTGCTAATGCTAATTTGAAAATTGGCCAAAACTCCAATAAGGTTGAACTTCTACACAGAGAAGGCTGCTAGTCCTCTGCAACTGTTTGGACAGCTATCTCTTCACTCCTTGGGGGTCTGCAGACTACCTCTAAGGGTCTATAAAAGATTATTATGATCAATCAAAATATGTGAATACCCACACTTACAATTCAAAGGGGTCTGCACTTCCATTAAAAAATTTGGACCATGGTTTTGGAGCATGTTATTTTGCTATTACAAAACAAATTTTTAATTTGAATAAATATCCCCCTTATTGTCTTTCAACTTGAAAATCTCTACCATTTTGCTAGAAACTAATAATTAACAAATATAAACCAAAGGAAAATGATCTTGCCTAGCCTGCTTTTGTGGTTCAATATGAATGTAATGTAAGATATAAGAAAACAAGAAAAATATTCCCTTAGAGAGCAGTTACAGATCCATTTACTGTTTGCTTTCTACAGACGTAATAGAGCCGGTGTTCTTTTCAAAACTGTTTACATAAAAAGGTGTTGCTTTAATCATCGTGCAGATAAGTTTACATAGGTATTTTCTAGAGGTGCACCACCAATACATCGGTCCAATATCAGATCAGCACTGATATAAAGAAAATTGACTGTATTGGAAATCAGCCTGATGTGGCCAATAATGTAGTCCCGATAAATGCCCTGTGCGTGCATGCATGCAGCTGCAATGCAACATGTAGGCAGTGAGGAGCACAGCCAGGGAGCTTGGAGAGCTGTGTGCAGCTGGAAGTCTGTTGTGGTGGAAGGGGAAGGAGAAGGGAAGGGAAGGGGTGGTGAGGGAGGGAGTGGGGCTAGGCCTGGGGCAGGGCAGGGCTTGGAGGAGGGGCAGCTCTTGCTGCTACGTGCACTTCAGGTGGGCATGGGGGGAATGGGGTGCATGTGCCCCCAGATCGGTGTGGGGCAGGATGGGGTGGGCTGGGGCTGCGTGGTGCTCTTCCCAGAGGGGACTGGGCCAGGCTGTGCTTGGGGTGGGCAGCGGCAGTGCTGGGAGTGGGGGGCGTTCCCTGCTGGGAAGAGCCCTGTGCAGCCCCGGCCCCAGCCCACCCCGCCTTGTGCAGATCTGGGGGCACATGCCCCCCATGCTTCCTGGGGTGTATGCAGCAGCGGGAGCTGTAGCCCCCTCCCTGTGCCCCCCAGATGAGCTGGGGCTCCATCCCACAGCCTGCCCTGCCCCAGCTGGGTAGCACATGCCCCAGCCCTAGCACCACTCCCTCTCTCTCTTCAGGGGCTTTGATCTTCCCCCGTCCCTTTCCACCACAGTAGACTTACCAGCCAGATACTGCTCTTCAAACTGATGGGCTGCATATCAGAAATCAGACTGGTATTGGCCAATATGCCTCTTTAAAATTTAACTATCGGTGTCGGCCCCAAAAATCTCTATTGGTGTACCCCTAGTATTTTCATTAGAATTATATAAATGGCCACATTGAAAGGGTTTGTAGTAAAAGTAATTCATTCAGTGAATATGAATTTACTTGAATGACCATGTATTTGAATGACCTATTACATAACATAAACAGAAAATGGTTAATAATGAATACCTGAATTATTAATCTTGGTTAATGTTTTATAGGCTCAGTTTTTGTGGCTCAAAATCTGGTTCATAAGCCATTCAGCAAGTCTTCCTAAATCACATACTTGTATAAGACAAAGGCAAATTAGTAGGTAAAAAGTCCTAAATGTTTTTAATTATCTTTTTCCCTTGAATTTTGTGTTCAGTTCTAATTTAATAGAGTGGAGCTGGCATAGTTTTGTATTCCACTATGAACAGGTCTACATTACTATGTTATTATCTGCTTTAAAAAACAAATATTAATAACCGAACTGATGCCCAGAGAGAACTTTTGGGGGCACCTCTGGGTGGGTCCTGCTTGCAACAGCATGGATCGGGGCTCACCAGCAGCATTGGCCACACAAAGCACTGCCTCAGATTCCTCTTCCCCACCACAGCCCTGGAGCCCAGAAACCTCCCCCCAGTACTGGCAGGCACCCCCCACACACCACCTCTCCAGACACCCCTGCCACACACATGCACACATATGCCTCCCTGGTCCCCATTGACTTACCTGTATCCAGTTGCCGGGGCTCCTTCCACCACTCTGCCTGGCTGTATGTCAGCCATGTGTGTGCCCACGGACACGCACATGGCGCCTCCAGTCTCCCTTCCCCTATCCCCCACCAGCCCCAAGCAGCTCCTTGCAGGCTGGAAGGTTGTCAGCCTGCAAGAGGAAACCTACATTTTTCTCTTTTAAAAGGGGTAAATCTGTGATTTTTTTTTTCCTTTAAAGGGGAAAAATCCACATTTTTCCACAGAGCCCAGATCCCTGGTCATGAGCATATGCCTCAGACCCTGGGCAGACACAAGATTTGAAGTACTTCAGATGCCTTTGAAGCCTATAGGATGAGAAATGAAGTGCTGCCTGCTGTGTGCATGCTCTATAGAGCATGTTGGGGAGGGCTTGGTCCTCCAGTATCTAAAAGTACTCCACCCTCTGTTCTCTCTTCCCTTCCCCCTTCTGACATTGGGAGACCAGAGGCCTCTCATCCCCTGCACCTTCCTTGGTCTCGGTGAGCTGCACAGGACAGCACACATTGACGGGGTGCTTCACTCCCCAGCTCCTGCAGTGGTGGAGGAAGCAGAACCACAGAAGCAGTCTCCTGTTTTATTCCTTGGTTGGAGAGCACACTATTACATGCTCCCATGGTGATCTGGAAGCATTCCAGCTAGGGGCATGGTAGAGACTATATGTCTATCTATGGCTAAAGTGCTCCATTTTATGTGTGTTAAAGTGCAGCTGTATTCTGAGGTGTTTCAAATGTTACATATGGCTTTTGCCTCTCTGGTGCCACTCTTGTATTCTTTTTTTTTTTTTTTTTTGTACAAAAGAAAAAAAAATCAAGCCAAATAAGCCAGTCTCATCTTAAATAGAAGACCATAAAAAACCTAGAAACCCAAAGAAAGAGAAGTAGTGAACATGGAAAAGTAAAGGACATGAGTGACTCAGGTATGACAGCAGGCATGTCTCATGTTCCAGGTAGTATTATATGTTTAGCAAAAACCAGTGGAGGTGATGTCATCTGAGTCCTGGTCTGGTCTGGTCTGGACATCTCTCAAGTAAACCTTGGCAATATTATGCTGGATCACAGGAAAATGGGAAGGGAGTGTGGCAGTCATGGGAGAGCCTGCTTTTTTTCATTTTAGCATCAGTGTCTAATAATGTTTTCTTTTGTTTGGGTCTCCGAGTTAAGGAGTCTAGGAAGGAGTAATGGGGAAAATAGTCCATCATGTCATTATTTTGTTCAACAATTAAACATAATTTTCAGTGTACCAGTTTTGGTCCATTGATTTCCAGCCTCACACTCCTGTTGTTTATTGGACATGAGTTCAATATGGTTCTTGAGTAGTAGCATCACACATTTTTGTTTAGACTAATCATGGCTTTGTACTTTTAACTTTTGCTTATTTTTATAACTCACTTTATAAAGCAGGCTGAGTTGATTTCACTTACCTTGAACAAATTAGGGTACAGGCACAATGGGTCCTAGCACAATAGGATACCTATTCATTAGCAGTCCCTCTTCATGGTTACACATGCAGATAACCAGAACTAATAAATTAATACAACAATAAACATTTGCTGAGTGAAAGTGCACCAGGCGCAGCAAACCTTTCCAAAGGTAGTTTTTCTCAGATTCTTGGTCAAAAAGGTTAAAGCTAAAATGTACTTTAAAGCTAGTTATTCTGTGTTGTTGGGGTAATTTCATTCAAAGGTGACTCAGTAGCTAGCACAGTCTGAGTTTGTTGCAGTTTTCAGCTATGGAAACTCAGATTAATACTGATTACTTGACCCCTGTGTTATAACTTCTGTTTTTATAGCCTTTTGCTTTCCACAGTCTAGTGTTTTAGGAACTAAACACATGCCAACATTTCTCCAGGGTGATATGCAGTTTCCTGAGAAGAGAGTAACTTCTAAGAGTTTCCTGAAAGCTCTCAAAGAATGCTGTTTAATCTTTGTTTACCTACCATCACCGCAGAACACATGGGTCATTAGAAAACAAAGATTAATTGCTCTAAATCCTCTAGCTATTTTAAAAAATATAATGCTCTCTATTAAAGTACCTTGGGTTAATAATCCCTCTGGGTTAAGTTAATGAAAGTTGTGCCACTGACTTTAGTGGGATCAGGATTTGGCCTTTTGTTCACAGGTGGAAAAACATACTGCTCTCATGTCTTCACTACAGAATTAACTAACGTCTAGATAAGTTCTCTAGAGTAAGCCTCCCTCAAATGAGATTAGCCATAGTGAAATAACACTCAAGCTATTCATAGTGATTGTATTAGGGAGAAAAAATTGATTTTATGATAATAGTAGGCAATTTATTTGTTCAAGTTGCAACCTGTAGGACCTTCAGGCAGGCTACCTAACCCAACTTAAGTTTACTTAGGGTAAAAGTACTTGTGTGTTGATGGGACTCGCATTAGGGGCAACACTTGAA